GCAGTCACTTCAGAATCAGTAACGGTTGAGTGTGGATAAAAAAAAAAAGGACTATTGGAACTCTACTTTATTAGGATTGTTGTAAGGTATAATAACAAAATCTTACAACCCTGCCAGAGTTTCCTTTTGTGCTCTGTTATACCATACAGAATCAAGGTGTGGTTATTTTGAGTCTCTTTCTCATGCTCCCTCCTTTTTCAGGCTGAAATGCCATTTACTTTCTTTTTTATCTACTAATGATTTTTGCATTATTTCACAAACACTCTCTCTGCATTCCACCACACATATGAGGGAGGAAGTCACCCTGTTATGCTTGGGGTTGTGTGGCAGCCAGTGGCACAGAAAATATTGTGCAGGTGGAAGGAAGAAAAGACTGAACTCAATTACAACATATCCCAGAAGCTGATGTTCCACAGTCAGTGAAGAAATTGAAGCTGAAAAACAGATTGGTTATTTCATCATAAGAACAAACATAAACATACTTCCAAATCAACACTGGGAGATCTCCAACATACAAGGCATGCAAGGAGACCTAAAAATATCAGAGAGCCAGAAGAGTTCTGCAAGGAAGAAAGGGAAAATATTCCAAAAGCAAGAAATTATCTACACAGAATGTTTGGAAGCTGGTATTTCTGCCATAGAAGTATTCTCAAGTACTGACTAAAAGGATGTCCAAACATAGCACCTGCCATTTTCACTATGTTCTTATTTGAATTTGTAAACAACTGTGCATAAAGAGTACATATGTACATTCAATTTTGCATAACAATGTCATATTTAATTTAGTACCATGCAGAGGTTGTATTTGCCTTTGTTGCTTAAGGATCCATTGAAACATACACTTTGACCAAGAGTGTCTAAAATTTTGTGTGCCACTGTGACTAAAAAGAGAATGTCAGAAAACTGAAATATTATTGTAGAATAATGCCTAACAGTACAGGTACAGATAGCCCTTGTTTAGTGACCAGCAACTTGTTAAGTGAAGTGGCTGCTAGTGAAACTGCAATTGTTCTTATGATCTTACTTCAGCTTTCCTTTGTTTTACAGACCTGCAAAGATCATAAATGTGAGGATTGGTTATAAAGTTACTTTTTCATTACAGTTGTAACTGTGAATGGTTGCTAAATGGGGCAGTAGCTAAACAAGGACTACCTGTAGTCCTCGTATAAAAATACTAATTGGGACAGGAAACTCCATTGTTAAGCAATGCAGTTGTAAGTTGAAAAAACATGTGGCCATGTCACTTAGCGACACACTTCCAGCAGTCCCAGTTGCCATTGTTAAATGAGGGCTGAGTGGGTCATTAAGCGAGGACCTCACGTGACCATGACTTCTGACTTCCTGCTGGCTTCCCCATCGACTTTGCTTGTGGGAAGCTAGCAGGGAAGATCGTAAATTGCAATCATGTGACTGCGGAATGCTGTGGCAGCTGTAAGTATGAGGTCCAGTCATAACTATCACTCATTCAGTGCTGTCATAAGTTTGAACAGACACTGAATGAGTGGTCGTTAAATGAGGACCACCTGTGTAGTCCTGTGCATATTACTATGAGTTACGTCTGAATTTTAGAGGAATTTCTAGATCTGTGCACACTGCAATCTAAGAAACAGAACTTTTAACTGGAAAATCCCTGATCCAAATTCATGAATTTTAATGGAAACATAAGAGCATCAAGCCAGATCATAGTGACAACAATTAGCCCAGCTTCCACATGGGCTCATGAGCTTCTCCAGCCTCCTCTTGCATAAGTGCACGAAATATTTTGTAAACTTTTGCTGCTATTTTTTACTATTATTACATGTAGTCTTTACTTACTGACCATTCGTCCAGTGACTGTTTGAAGTTACAAGGGTGCTATAAAAATAACTTTACAGCCTATTTACAACCATTTACAACCTTTGCAGCATCCCTCAGTCACATGATCGCCATTACAGTCAGTACATGTTGCCCTGTGCCTGACCTTTGTTTTTTTTCTTTCTTTCCTTCCATGCTTACAGAGCAGATAGATTGGAGAGAGGGATTGCAAGAAAGTAAGCTGTTTGCTCTTTTACACATCAAAACCAATGCTACTGCATCAGCAACCGGGGGCTGAAAGTTGTGGGCGGGCTATACAAACAGCTTACAGTACTCTCTTGAAATCTCTTTCTCTCCAATCTCTCTGCTCTGTGAGGGGAGGAGCAAACAATTTTGCAAGCCAAAGCAAGCAAAAAAAGCAAACAATTTCTGACCCTTCTGTCCTCTTTGCAGAGCAGAGGGATTAGAGATGGATTTCAAGAGAATAAGCTGTTTGCTCTTCTATACATTGAAAGCAATGGGATTGCGCTGGCAGCGGGAAAAGGTCAGGCAAAGGAGAGATTGTCTACAAAAACGGCTTGCTTCCCCCCCCCCATAGAGCAAAAAGATTGGAGACAAGGAATTACAAGAGAGTAAGGTGTCTGCATAGTGCACCCGCAGCTCCCAGCCCTGGCTACAGCACAATTGCATTGCTTTTGATGCGCACAAGATAGTAAGCGGGCACTTGAGCATTCCAAAGGGCGGGGGAGTGGTTAGAAGGCAAACAAAAGCCAAAGATGTGAAACTGAGGACCCTTGTCTCTTTCCGGCCAGAAAGCACAGTAACGGTCACGTGATTTCCCACTTAGTGACCACTTTGCTTAATGGCAGAGTTGCCAGTCCCAATTAAGCAATAAAAGAACACTGAATCTAAGCCAAATGTATTTAAATACATTGAGTAACACAGGATATGAATACTTACAATATTGCCATAATTTGAAATGCTTGTATTTCTCCAAAACTGAAAGTAGAGTTAGATAAGTTTGCCTAAAAAGATGGGAATATACTTTAATAACACTATGCTGTGCCACATTATCCTTGATACTAAATCATGTTAATAAAAATCTCTCTGGAAAAAACACAGGACAGGTTAAAATATTAGTACTATGTTAATGTGTTCAGTTTGATAAAACGAAGGGAATACAAGTGTATGACCTTTCTAAAAGTCTATTTATAAAACTCAGAACCAATATCTCAAGAATTCCTACCTACCCTGCTTCCTTATAGTACACTTAAAAAATACCAGTGCAGAGTGTCATGGGATCTTATAAATAATGTGTATATACCAGAAGTCTGTGCTACTCACATTTGAGTCTATTTTTCCATTCTAATTTATCTTTTTTTTTCATAGAGAATAGTCCTGTTATCTTCTGCCCCATCAATACTAAGCAGAGTCACATCTGAATAGGATGAAGTCCGACTAGAAACAGATTTTATTTTATTAATACAATACTGTAGGTGAAAATCCCCACATCCAGTTTTAAAGCTTTGGGATATGGTTAGATTTCCAAATCTTTTCTTGACATTTCCAGAAAAATACAATGAGATCATTAGAATTGTTGAAAGAAACGTGTAAAATATGCCAAGTAAATATTCTTGGTTCTCCAGATAGTATTCTCAACTTAATAGGAACATAAGAAACTGCCTTGTACCAAGTTAGGCTCGTCGTTCATCTGCTTCGTACAGTATTTTCTGCATACCTCTACAGGATCTCAAGGAGAAAGCATTTCAGTCCTTTTAATTGGAAATGTCAGGGACTGTATCCTGGGACATTCTATATTAAATGCAGGTATTCTCTCTCAAAGAATAACACATCCTGGTTTTATTATTAATTTGAGCTACAACTTAGTCAAAAGGCAGCACTTTTAAATCCCATTTAGGGTTATGACAACTAATGGGGCTTTCAAAAGCATGACTGCAGCTTTACTTAGTTTCTTAAACTGAACTGTTTCAGTTCCCATTTCAGTTCCTATTTGCTTCCATCAATTTGTCTAATAAGAATTTATTTTTAACTTTTTTCAATAATAATTAGTTTTAAATAACTGAATAAGTTATATCATTTTAAAATTTTAAGAAATATTTAAATATCAACAGCAATAATCAGCACAGTATAAATCATAAAATGAGACTAAGAATAATTTCTATCCAAGCAGTTGAAGATCTAGCCTCATTTAACAAATCATTGAAGGTTAGACTATTAAGACCTTATGTTAAGAGAAAACCAAATTTCAGATGTAATATAAACCCATATAAAGAACGATAATCCAAAAATGGTTTCATGTTGTATGTACTTTCCAATAGGAAGTATAGAATATCCTTGCAGCAGTTATCATGAATAAAGCCAGTCTAATATACTTTCTGGGAATGAAAGGTTTATTTAATTTAAAAATAACAGGTTGGAAAGGAAATTCAACCTTTAGAATTTGCTTCTGTGGTAGAATATTGCCCTCTGTGGGGTTCATTTGAACTGGAGACCAAGACACACTTATGTTGAAGCATACATTGATTTATTGACAATTACAGTAAGCCAGAGGCAGGAAAGAATTACCTAAAGAGGGGTGGAGTTACAGACCTTCTTTATAGACATATGCAAATCAATCATTTCATTTTATTGGGCACATTATATTTACACTGAGTCAACATAAATTCAGTGGTAAATTCCCACTAGTAATTCATGTATTATAGATAGTGATTAGATCCTATAAGTGATCTACAAAATATGGATTAAATGAAGTCACTTCTTGAAAAATGGGGTTTTGTTCTAAACAAAAGTATTTCATCCCTTGTCCCAAAGTTGCTGTTTTCTTTTCCCCTTCATCTGAAAGATGTTGGCTCTAGCTTCTTTACTCTGTAACTCACTCCTAGTGGCTGGTTTGCATTTTTTTCATTTAAGACTTTCACTATCTTATTAGCACTTAATTACTTTAAGCATGACCATCAGCTAACTGTTCAGGAAAGACTGCTAAAAGTCTTATTCCTGACTCAGCTATTACCTTCACTTTTGGGGATAATATCTTCCCCCAATCTCCATCTAAATCCCCATACAAAAGTCCTCCTTCAATTCATCCTATTATAATCCTATTATAGCCCATTCATTTTCCAAAATTGTTGAGCTTTACAACATTGCCATTAAATACGGATGCTAGTAGAATTTCAATTAAACATGGTGTACTTGATTTAAAAGATAATTTGTCAGGATAATCTTATAACAGGTATTTCAAAAGTCTGCTCTTTGTTGCTTTGAAGGATCCAGTTCATAATTCCACAAATCTAAGATTTTGAAGATCTTTAATTACATTTGAAAAAAATCTTGGCACAGATAACTTACAGGTAATCATAAACATACATGGGTCATTCTGCCAATTTTCAGGCCAATTTATCTTGTTTTGAAGAGCTGCCATTACTGCATGGCATTGGAATGTATGCTACAGAAGGTCACATTCTCTGCACTGTGTATTTCATTGGCTTCAGTGTGCAAATATATGTACACAACAATAGTAGCAGACACATTCTGGCTTAACTTAAAACAACAAAGGGTTGCTTTGTACTTTGGTCCTAAACTTCCTGAAGGAGGAATGACATGAAAACAGCTGCCAAAACTTCATAGTAGTTTTTTACCTTGTAAAACATACGGCTCATTAAGAAGTATGAGTTTGATTACAAAGCCCAAATAAAATATGAGAAACATGTAAAAAAGGTATTGGAGTTACTATTCATTTGCATACTTATCCACAACTGTCTTTCTTTTTTTTATATTTCCTTAGAACTACCAACTTTTGGCAGGCATAAGAATAGCTGAAACCAAGGAGAGTAGTGGCAGAATAGAGGTAAAAGAGAAAAGGATGAATTAGGGGAGATGGATAGAAGGACAAGCCACTGCTTTAAATAACTACTGTTGTTTTAATAAAAACAATCCCTTTTCCAAACATGCACATGCCAAATGAATTTAAGCAATACTGAACAGCCTTAAGGAGAAATGATCACTTGTATAAAGTGCTACCCTTAAAATTATGCAGCAAATGCAAGAACCAATTCAGGACAGTTGTTTCAAAGAGCTGATATGCAGAGTTAACCTTATTGGAGTAATCTGTATTTCTACAGGCTCAGGATGAAGTGATAGGAGTTTTAAAGGCTGAAAAAATTAACTTGGCTTTACTAGAAGCACAATATGGCTTTGTTACTCCAAAAAAGGTCCTTGAGGCACTTCAGCGAGATTCTATACAAGCCAAAACTACATTATGGCAAGAGGATATCTATGAAAAACCCATGGGAGAGGTATGTATGATGCATGTTTAAAGCAGGATGTAAGCATACAAGGATTAATCCTAGAATCCAATGAATAATTGATTTAACTGAAGAAGGGCAAGTGTCAACAAAGCAAAATATTGTTTTGCTGAAGAGCACAAACAGTGAGCTCAGAACTTAAGGATCCCAGACTTTAAATCTCTACTATGAATTGACATCTACATCGGTTGTGAACTTCAGAGAGAGATAAATTCAAATGCAGCTGTCAACTGGTACAAAGTCTAAACAGTCAATGAATTCAAAGCCTACTTTTGAATTCAGCCAGCATCTTAAACCAAACAACAAGCTAAGGGATCGTCCAAAACTATTCCACATTGTTAAGACCCTTCCTTCTATTGCAATTTTACTGCCCTTTCCTTTCCTTTGATGTGTGACATACTTTATAAACAATTCATGTATAGCGTGATAGCACCGGATGCATTTCTAGGCCTTAGGAGCTGGACAATTTGGTAAGTTGATTTAGCCAACTGGCATGTAGACTTCATTGCAGCAGCATCACAATCAGACTCTGTTTAGACAAGTTAATTATTTTGGAATGGTAACCTTTGACCTTGTCAAATATTCAGTGTCAACAGATTTTGCCCTAGCAAAATCAAGGGCTTATCGTAGGACAAATTACTGAGTAAACAAGCAGGCTTAGTAGCCCTGGAATGTAAAGTATTCTGCAAACATACACACACACCCTTGAAAAGTGAGGTTTTGGACAGTTACTTCTACCTCTTCATTCTTATACATCAGAATTACAGAACTTTTAACAGGCCAAGAGTTCTTTGAGTATATGCATGTGCATGCAGGTGTGTGCAGGTGTGTGTGTGACCAGATTTTCATTAGATCAAGGACTACAACAGATTTTGAATGACATGTCAAAGATTGTACTACAAAGGGGCAAGGCTACATTGAAAAGATAAAAGTGGAAAAATGGAGGAAGGATAAATAAATGAATAAAATATCAATATTACTATGCAGGAGTTGCTGTTTTAGATGGAAGGAGGACATGAAGATGCTGTGGGGTTAGCAGCACTGAAATTTGACAGCTAATCTGAAGGGAAGGCAGATAAGGGATTACAGATGAATTCCTGCAGATTGTAGATGATCCATTTACGAGATGCCAGTAAGATAAGACCTCAGGCTTCTAGGTTTCCTCTCCTATCCTGCATAATTTCATAACTGTTTAGTTTGCTTGAAAGTGAAAATATGGGACATCTCCTAGGCTCACTAGCGAAAGGTATTTTTATCTCCACAGTTAGGTAATACAGTATGATATGCTTACAGCAGCAGCAGCAATAAAACCAAAAAGCTTCTACCTCCGTTTAACTAGCAATTCAAAATTTCAACAATTTAAAATTATAATATTATGAATCAGTTAGGAATTTGAGGAATCAGCACAGACAATTAAATAACTGAACGGTAATAAAATAAGAATACTTACATCAGCTGTGTCCAACTTCATAGAAATATATATTATCAGGCTCATTGTAGCTCAACATAAACAGCATGATAAACAGAATGTTTTCACAGAGCATTTTCCAAGTTTCAGAAAGAAACATAACTAAATACACAAACGGACCCAAACCAATGTCAGGCAAAAATGCTAGAACTCATTTCTAGGTTTCATGGCAACAATATTGTATTTATAATGTAAGTACAATTGTAGAGTTAATGCATTTTCAAATGATAGTGAATATTAAGTCATAAGAGCTCTATGAACAGAAATAATGCAAGGAATAGACAGACTCCTTCCATCTCAAATTCCAAACGTAACTTGGACTTCTATCTTGGAGCAGCTTTTCTCCTAATGCTATATGGCAGCAAAAGAGTTTCTAACACTACTAGACTTGGCAATATTAACTGCAAAGATAAACAACCAAAGAAAAGTCAAAATGATATCGTTCTATCATACTTATTAAAGTTCAGGAAGTGGAAGAGTCTAACAAATACTAGCAAGATCATTTCAAAATTCTATTTCAAAATTACAAAGACAAAATAGAGGATTTATTTTGTTGCTGATGTTAGATGTTTATCAAAAACAAGGGCCAACCGAAAGAATTACACCTGGAGTGCAGAAAAGAGGCGAGCTGCTATGTAAATTCCTCACAGTGATCTGATAATGTATCATATGTCTGGATCTCATCATCACTGATATTTTAACAGCTGGTTTATAAGCATTACGTTAAATGATGCCAACAGGATGACAGCTGTGCCAGTTGAGAATTACTAAACTACAGTAATTCTATGTGCATTTTGGTTCCAGTTTTATGCCTGGGACAGCTATGAATTTCCACAGTGACAAGTATGTTCTGCATTCTCTTCTCCTATAATGAAGTACTAACAGAGGCAGACAGTTTGATTTTTAGATAATTAGGAAGTTCACTTGATGCCAGGGACTCATCAGCAATGAAGATATAAGAAACCATTTTATAAAGACCAGTTCATTTCACCTACACCTGGTATGTAAACCACTGCAGCATTCTCCACACAAACTCACAGTGGGCTCATGAAACACATATGGTTTCATGACATGTGAAATGGCCTTGGAAGGATCTGCAGTCAGATTCTATGAGAACAAATTGATTTATTCCTATAGAAAAGCTCAATGTTCTATCAATAGTTAATTCTTTTGTCCAAAGCTGGTCCTGCATTAAATATGATCTGTATGAGAAGTATCCATTAATGCTTCTCTCATCTCCCTGTCTTACCTGTTATTTGTATAGCTATTGAATAACTTTAATGATACTTCATTTATATACATGATTTTTAAATAGTTTGTAATCATTTTTTGAATAGTTACAAAATCTAGAATCCACGGATTTACATTTATTTATGTTAAAGACCAATAACCAACAGCAAATGTTTCTTCTAAATGCTTACCAATACATAAAATGTGCTAAAATAAAGAAACTGAACTTTGCATAACAATAAGTCAGTTTTATAAGAGATGGGTGGATTTTCTGATTTCAAAACCATTTGTTACTGCAAAGGTTATAAGAGTCCCAACACTGTTATAATTATGATTAATTGACCTTCAAAAGTATACCTTGTTTGTAGTTATATTCAAAGAATAACAAATTAAAAAGTTACGTCTATATATTTATTCATTTACTATAATTGTACACTGCAACACCCCAAGAAGATTCCTGGTACTTTACAACGTACACGTAAAAAATCAAAGCAATATAAAAAATTGATACAACTAGCAAAGAAACTAAAATATACTACAAAAACAAACAAGTTGTTTTTTTTTAAATATGATTTTATATGCTTTTTATATTCTTTTTTTTTTGGTATTGCTTTTAATTGTTGTAACCTACCTAGAGTCTTGTATTTGAGATGGGTGGCTATATTAATTGAAATAATAATAAAAATAATACATAAATAATAAAATAGCTCACTCTTAATTGTATTTCTAAATGTCAAGAAAGAAGGTATCATCAAATCACAAGGGGAAGTTATTTCTAGAGTGATAGATCTGAACTGAGAAACACTGGCTCCAGAGCCACCCAAAATCTTGCTTGGGGGTGAAACCTTCAGAATCCTGAAAATGTGTAAGCTAGTCCTTTAAGTACTTGAACACTAATTCATACAGGATTTTATAGGTTAAAAACAGCACTTTGAATTGCACTTAGAAGCCTATGTGTAACCAGTGCAGACCCTAGAGCACTGGTGTTTTATGATCACAGTAAGTCTCTCCTGCTATAAGGTAGGCTGTATTTGGTACCAAATTGCAGCTCCCAGGTTGTTTTCAAGAACAGACCCACATTTACCACATTGCAGTAATCTATTCTAGAGAATACAAGGAAATGAGTTAAAAGTATATATAAAAGCCACAACAGCCCTACAGTCATACCAATTGAGAAAAGAGCTGGTGGAAGGATGGGAAGTGTGTTGACAGATATATATGCATGAAATGAACTATCTTCCTCTTCCATTACTATGGAGATGTAAATTAAGGAATTGGCCAATACCCTCTGTGTTAGGTTTATATTGCTTTCATAAGATGGGAAAAGTTGCACTTCTGTGTACAGTTGCAGTTTTTGTACATTTGGAACAAGATATACATTAATTGTAGTTCATTTCCAACTATAATGATTCCAGACAAAAATGACATCTTAGAGCAAATTACTCAGAAATTTCCATGAACAGTACAAAGATGCTTAAAATTGTCTTATAATGTTAATCATAATTATTTATTTATTTAATCAAGAATATAAGGGTTTAACAGAATTTAAAATGAAATATATTAGAAAAGGTCAATGCATTCTTGATGGAATATTTTCACTGAAATTTGTTGTTAGTTGAGAGGAGTCAGTCAGCTCAGTCCCCCATGTTTATTTTATAAGATTTAAAACAGTGACATTTGGTTAATGCTGAAAAAAGTCCATGTGCCCTGCTGAAGCTGTCTGAGTATATTATCTGAATCATGGAAGATGAGTAAATGCCAACACTTTTTTTTAAAGCACTGATTTGTGTGTGTGTGTATGTGTGTGTGCACGTGTACACAATTTCATTTTGGCCTCTTTTATTTATGACTAATTCCAGGCAAATTTATCCCAAGTTTTATATGTAGAAAAATGCAAGTATCTACACTGCAGATCAGAAAATCCAGTCCAGCAGAGACAGGCCCTCTGATAAAATCATGAAGTCTAGACTATCTTGGTCAAAGGGCTTCTAGCTGTGTCAAAACAATGAGAAATGAGAGAAATCTGTTCCATGTTATGTTTCCCTTCAATAGACACTAATTCAACTCACTAGTATAACAACACCAACAACAAAGAACTTTCATCACCTAATAAGGAAGCTGAAACTAATTACTATATGGAATGATTCCTTTTTTGTTCATAGTCTGAGAAAAATTAACATGCTAACAGCTAAACAGACAGCACTTCATTGGTTAAAAGCCAAGTCAAAAGGAAAGGGAAAGTTTCCAAACAAACAAGCAACAATTGAATAAATCAGCATGATCATCCAGAACTATGCAGACCAAATTAGAAATTCGTAACATTCCTCACCAAACCAGTTGTATCAATAAGATAGCAAAGAGGTATAGCCTAGAACAGAAGTAGGAAGTGCATGCCTCGGCCTTCACTCCTATAACCACTTATATGTTTAGGCATTCTGGAAATATTTGTTTGTTTTTATAACTGAGTATACATGCCATTTTAATCATTGACTTATAGCCCTACCTTGCATAAGCAGGATTGAAACAACTGAGAAATAAAATCAGATAAAAACAAACATCACATTCATGATCTAGTTCAAAATCTTTAAACTTAAAATTTTAAAAATTCAGCTATATAGTGTATAGATTCAGACTAAAGCAAAAGTATAAAGTGGAATGAGTAACCTGTGCAACTCCACGTTGCTGAACTACAGCTCCCAGAATTTTTCCATTGCTATGAAAGCTACAAAATCCTAGGCTTTGAAGTTCAGTAATATCTGGTAGACCATGCACATTGCCCACTCCTGCTTTAAGCCTATTTCTGCATCGAAGTGGGGATGGCTATGTTAGACATTAGTAATCTAAATAATTTATATAAATAATCTAAATAAATATTGTATGTTCTTCATTCAATTTTATGGTCCCCTTCTTTCCCTCCTCTCCTATTCACTGCAATGGGATGGTGCTGTATTTCTCTGTCTCTAGTACAGAAATCAATTATCAACCTCCATCCTTCTGTGTTTACTATTTTCTTAACATGGATGAGGGATGACATCCATGACATAACATGGCTAGGGCAATGAATTGTGGAGCTATGTTAGCTACAGTCATGGCTGTTCTGGTTATAACACTGTCCTTCTGACCCCACCATTGGACTCATTTAAGAGAAATAAAACAAAGATTAGGGATGGGCAGGTCAGCTGGTAGAGAACTGACTGCTGCTTCCAGCCTTCTTCCCAGTGGATCCACTCAAAACAACTATTTGGCCAGACTCAGAAACCAACAGTTGGCAAGACTGAAGAGAATATCCATAATCAAATAGAGCAGTTAGACCTTTCAACAAGTACATTCTGAAAATCACATCATCCTTCTAAAAAACAGTAAAATAATTTCACCTGATTTATAAAGAATCCTGAAACATCAGTGAATTAAACTAAAGAACACTTTTAGTCAGGCTGTGGATAAATCTTTACACAGATTCCAAGTGTGATTTTTATTGTACATTTACCTATATTCATACACTAATAATATTTTTGACAAAATATATTTCTCGCTAAAAATTATTAATGGTGGCATCCAAATATTGCACTTGCTATTTTAGCATCTTAATATTTAGGATAGTGATTATCAATAGGTTTGCAGGGATGCCACCAAACCACATCGACATTATACAGTATTAGTTTTGTAGGTATGCTACAATGGCATCTGAAACAGATACATGGCATAAATATTAGGATCACTGTACTAATTTATTTCTTACAGCAAATGGTATTTCATTCCAAGGCATCTGTTGCTATAGTCAAAAATTTACTGAGCAGAGTAAAGCAAACTTTACTGCAGCAATCAGAGATTAATAAACCAATTAAGAATCAGTTGCCAAAGAAAATATATGTTAAAAGTAACATTAAGTAATTTACACTGTTTTATTTGCTTAACTTTGTCAGTCGAGGAAAAGGAGAAATGATACTGATAAAAAGAAACATTTGAAACCAACGAGAATTTAACATCAAAGTTATCAAGGTTAAATCCATGCTAGTTTTTTTCTACATGATATAAATGCTAATTTTCGACTCTAATGGAATTTAGTACTATTAAGTAAGAGTGTGAAAACTTACGACCTTCCAAGTGTTGCTGAACTACAGCTTCTAGAAGCTCTATTCTGCATAATAAATGGGGAGGGATACTGGGTGTTATAATCTAACACTAAGAAAGCTACAGGTTCTCCATTCTAAGACGATTTTATGTAACTGCAGAACTCCAGATTACCATGAGATGGCAGCAAAATAAATAAAGAGATATGGAAACATTGATTCTTTTTGCTGCCATCTCATAGTTGTCTGGATTTGTGCAGCCCAGATATGAGAGCACTTACCCCATCTAATTTAAACTGTGTTTTATTCTTGTTATAATTAAATTTTAAAGCCGTTAATGGTGCACAGATAAGTTACTTAAAAATACTTTTAATAAATAATAAATGTAATAAATTCCTAGTCAAAATTAATACAAATGATAGACATCTTTAAAATTGAGGACCTTGTTACTTTTTTAGCTTGACAAATTGGTTGAAAAGCATAAAGAAACACATAGACGGATGCTTGAGCAGCTCCTGATGGTAGAAAAATCTCATAGGCAAACTCTGTACGACCTTGAGGATGAGAAGAGGAAACATGCAGAATACATGGAGAAAAGTGATGAATTTACTAATTTATTAGAACAAGAACAAGAAAGGTAAGACAATTTTAAAGACAAGCAGTCATAAAAATCGTTGTATATTTTTGTATTTATTTGGATAAAGAATTTGAGCGTATCAGTGATCTAATAAGAGGTCAATTTAACCTCATGTAACATGAAGTTAGCTTAGATGTAGAACATACATTTTGGTTTTACATGATAATGTAGAGACAGTCTTTAAAAACTTGTTGGCAGCATTAGTATTTGCTGAAGTCTTTTGTTTTGTTTGTTCGTATCTCTAAATCATATACAGGTCTCAGGCTGTTTGCTTGTTTATTTATTTTATCAGATTTATAGAGCCACCCAATTTAATTGACTCTGGGTGGCTTACAATAAAAACAACCAATAAAAACCCCCAGTAAGGTGGGATGATCTGATAAACTAATAGGAAAAAAAAAAAGGCTGGTAATAAAATACAGCCACATTTTGTCAGGGTTCAGTTTAAGCCTGTTTGTCCCATCCAGAACTTCATAGCCTCCAGGTACCATAACATAACCTTGACAGTATTGCTTGTTCAGTCGGTTCAGATGTACAAACTGAGTTTCATCAGCATACCAATGATACCAGACTCCTTCTCAGCAGATGACCTCATCAAGGGTTTCAAGTTGATATTAAACAGGAGAGGTAACAATGAGGCACCCAGCAAATAAGGGGCTGAAGAGTCGGCTTCCATTCCAGGTGGTGATTAAGGCCTCAGACAAGCTATCCACCAGACAACTGGGAAGAACACCAAGGTCCAGGTCCATTAGATATTGAGGGTAGACCAATCGAATAGGCCCCACTTCCCTGATGGATGTTAGCAGCATTGGTGAATCTAAGAATAGCCAAAGTGATCTGACCATGACAGAGGACTGATGATGACGTTGTCCACCCTCAGATCACACCCACAATTGCCCCTAAACAAAAAACAGATCTAGAGTGTGGTCTCTTATGTGGTACATCAGGCCTTTAATGACTTGGGACAGGTCCACAGTTGCCATGGTGACCATAAACTCCTGAACTGCTCCTGACTTAATACCACACTAGGACAGATTGAAATAATCTAAGACCATTAATCTCAGAGACTCAGCTACCAATTCAGCAAGAAAATCTAGCATAGAAGGAAGACTAGTACAACCACAGGGTCTCACATCTGGTTGTCTGCAGCACAGAGTTTCTTGACAACCTTAGGACTTCCTAGATACAACTATAACTCCTACCCTCCTGGCCTTGGGCCCATGGCTGGTGCCACACATGAAATTTGGGTGGCCATATTTCTGAAAGAGGAACAACCCACAGCTGCCCAGGTCTCAGTAATACACTCCAGATCGCCCACCTCATCCAGAATAAGTTCCTGGTAAGGACTGCTTTGTTACAGACCAGCCTCTGAGGATCCAGGTCCTGACCCTGGGGTTGAAACTTGGGGCAAGAAGGAAGAATTAGCTGAGCGTACTGAAGGTTGAACATGGAGCAGTTAAAGGAACTGAAATGGCCTTCCTTGTTTGGCATAAGATCATGCTATGTTCTATTTCCTCAGAAAATAAAACACTTTTTGGGTGTAAATGCAGCAGCCTTCTCCAATTGATTGTCTTCCAAAAATATTGGAGTTCAATTAAGTGTCATCATCCCTCACTAGTATTTTGCATAACTGGGGATGATGGGAGCTACAGTCCAACATATTTCGAAAGTGCCAGGTTGCAGAAGGCTAAATTCTACCAAGATAAAATTGTTATGGGGTAGAGCTAGAGAAGACTCATCCTAAAGGCTTACAATAATCATAGAGCTTGCAATGTTGCCACTGATGTGGTACTATAGTGTAAAAACTGGATTCTGTAACTGATTTAGAGAATCAATAAGCTTTCTTTACAATGCTGCATCTGATTTAGAGAATCATTAGGCTTTCTTTACAATGCTATGTAAAGTCCTCATATTGTGGAGCAATAATAATAATTATGCTTCATGCTCGGAACAAGCACTATGACATTTTGAGCAACTCAGCCCTAGAAGGCAAATAAAACATAAAAGAATAAAAATGCAAGGACAGGACCCCACAAGTAGCAGGAGATAAAATTAAACAAAAATATAAAGGAAATATTTTTATGCATATCATGTTTCCTCACTACTCTAATGGAAGACAGAAGAATGCCATTTTAAAAAGAACTGCATACTTTGAGAACAGGAACTAAATCTTAAAACAATCTCTGAGAGAAGACAGGGAAATACAATGGTTATATTTCTATACCCTGGACAGCTACACTTGATTCTCAAAGCTGTGAGGACACTGTCTATATCACTTTGCTCAGAATAGCTCCCAGATACATCAAGTCCATTGATGCACAGATGATACTTCCTCTTTCCTGCCTGCATAACCTCATGTTTCATATGTCCTGGCACCACTGGCAACATTCATCTTTCCTACTGCACCTTTTTAATTTAACTTCACTACAGATAAGCTAATAGGAACTCCTCTATAGAAGTTTTTCCCAAACAGGGAAAAAGTTTTTCCCAAACAGGTGCTTCAGAGATGTGCTGGATTACAATTTCCATAATTGCCATCCAGCACTACTGTAATAGTGTAGTGTAATAGCCTAACACATCCAAAGGATACCAAGGTAGAAAGCAGTGTGTAAATTTTTTTAAAAAATTGCTTGTTGATTATGTAAACAGGTTGGAAAAAATTCTCAAATTCATAGATAAGTGTGTACAAATGCAACAGGGTATGGGTCTGAGAGAAAGAATGGGAAAATTTGAAGACAGATACTAACTCCATAAATATTTTGTGCAATGTTGATATCTCACAGCAGACTGATTAGAGACTTATTGCAGACAGCTTAAAAGCTCTTTGTTTCATAGACCAAAACCAAAAAGAAAAAAACCCCAGACATTTAAACTGTGAAAAGCTGGCTTATTAAATAAAATGTCACATTGTCTGTAATGAAACAGTGCCAAACTACAAAACCAGTTGCTAAATAGAAAAATATTTAAAAATAATGGACAAATACGTAATTTGTATTTTAATAATTGGAAATTACTTATTTTAAATATTTACTGATGTATATCTGGAAAAGAAAAAGTGAAGTGAGAAATGAGATTCTAGAAAATGGAATAGAGGTAGACCTTGTTTTGCGACCGCAATTGGGACCAGCAACTCAGTCATTAAGCATAGCAGTCACTAAGTGAAAAATCACATGACCATGACTGTGCTTACAATTTTACTTCAGCTTTCCTTTGCTTTACAGCATCAGAAGGATACGACCCCAAACAGCCAGGTGAGCCCAAACGGCAGGGAAGGTTTCCAGAACTTGACTCACAAGGAAGCTGGGTAAAAGGGCAAATCTTATAGCCCCTTTTCCCCACTCCAATGCCCTTGGGAATGCTCACCCCAGTGCTGGGATAATTAGCAAGAACAGAATTAATGTATTTACATTCATTGGAGAGGAAGGGATTACAAGAGAGTAAGCAGGCATCCAATGGGGAATACATTGAAAGGAATGCGCTAGCACCAGCTGTTTGCCTAGTGCACTGGCATCTCTGAGCCACTAGCCACTTAGGAGGCAAACAAAAGCCTTTAGTGTGAAACTGATTAGGGTCTTGTCAACTTCACGCAGCAGCTCCCAGGCAGAGTGTTCTAATTAAGGTCACAGAACTGAACTTATTAATTTGTGGTTAGCACTTTTTAGGGAGACATTGCTACAGAGAAAAGAAGTTCAGGAAGAGATAGCTTGTTTAGGTAATCTCTCTGCTGGAGGTTGGAATGAGTCAGGCACAGGACAATGCATACTGACTGTAATGGCAAACAGGTGACAGAGAGAGAGACACTGCAAAGGTCATAAATGCAGGTATTAGTTGCAAAGTTACTTTTGCGTCACCGTCGTAACTGCAAATGGTCATTGTCTGAGGCAGATGCTAAGTGAGGACTACCTGTAATAGATTTTAGATGTTTGTATTTTCATTGGAGTACACAATGTATATTAAAAAAAAAACAAACCCTAATGTAGCATGATGTCACACCTTGTATGGTATCCAAAACACTTACCAAATTATGTTACCATCAAGATTCCTTAGCAACTGCCTTCCAGAATGAGAGAGTTTTAAGTTCCCTTATTATGATGCTATACAGTGATATTTTACACACACATAAATATATTGTTTCATTCTAAAATTGACATTTGTTTACATTCTAATATGATTTTGCACTTAGTTTAAAGTATCCATGAATATAATTTAATTTAGTTTAATAATTTGATGTATTGTGTCCACAAATAAAACAACCTTGAGGCAGATGGGGTCCACTGTCTTCCAATTTCTACTGAGCCTCATTCTATATTCCCAAATTCAGTGCAACTGACTACCCATAAGGGCGTCAACAAACAAAACAGAGCCAGAAAACCAACAGCTCCCAACACACCACCAATAGCACTATTTCTACTATCTACTGGTTGATCATATGACCAGCCAAATGATCAAGTAGTCTGGTAGCATTTTTCATGCTTGAGTGCACAAAGGAAAAGATGTATCCAGGACTCATTATTTTGATTGCAATCATAAGATACTCAGCTGGGAGTAAGTATTCCGCTATATTCAGCACTTTACTGCTAAGCTTGATCAGAATGTTAAGTTCAAAGCCTGGAATCAAGAACTGAATCTTGTAACAATTAATTGATTTATTTTATTTGGAAAAAAAATACTGTATGCTGCTGTTCTGTACAGAATTTTCCATTATAATATTAAATTCACCATTAAAACATTTAACAATTATTCAAAATATTAATATATACTAATCCCCACTGGGAGGGAGTTCCAAAGAATAGGTGCAGCCATTAAGAACATTCATTAGATGACAATCTCATAGGGATGGGACTTGGAAGGAGTTGACCCTAGTTGATTTAGTTGGACAGGCAGATGAATACAGGAGAACACATCTCCTCAGAGAACCAGATATATAGCCTTAAAGGGCCTTAAAGCCAACAGCCATCACCTTGAATTGCAACCAGAAGCCAACTGGTAATATAAGCAGC